ATAACCTTTTAGAACATGAACGAATTGAAGAGCAATCCTGTGAATATCGCAAATTTAGTACCTCCGAACCTCAAAAATTGATCACAGAGGAAATAAAAGCTGAAGGGATGGTCAATTGGGGAGTTTATGCTACTTATATGATTAAATCAAAAAAAAGAATTATGGTTTGGCTCTTAATAAGCATTTTAATTTTGGCAACATGGTATATCCAAACGAAGCAAGGTCATTAATTTTGTACAATTTGTATTTTATATTCATTCAGCAATAAAATTTATAACTAGATTTACAAATTTCCTTAGATTTTTTGATTAAAAGTTGGGCTGATGCTCACGATAAACACGATCAAGTGAATCAAACAGTTTCTCATATTGAAGTCCTTTCTCCCTTGACCGAGAACTTCAATCTTATCATAAGAAATTTTATCTTGACCAATACTCTGTTTCTTCCTATGTCCTACGAATTTAATAACGTTGATTATTATTTCTGGGCTTACGCATTTGTCACGTTGTTGGCCATTTTATTAAAATCTTTTAAAACATATGTTATATTTCGTGGCTCTTTAATAGCATCTAAAGAGTTACATAACTCTATGTTGGAGAAGATTTTATATACAACAATTAGATTTTACGATACTACTCCAATGGGTAATAAAAAAAAATTTATTTGTAATATTCAATCAAATCCATGTAATTGCTGACTTCATTTATCATTTATAGGCAGAATTATGAATCGATTTTCAAAAGACATGGAAATTATTGATCAAATTTTATCCCTCAACGTCACATTTTTTATTTATTCACTCATGTCTGCTGCTGCGTTGGTGATTTCTGCTATATTTAATGTCGATGTTGATATAAGATTTAAATTTTTAATTGCCTGTATTTTCATTGCCGTGTCAGTATTGTATACCATAATTGGCATATCATATATATCTACATCCCGATATCTAAAACGTTAGTGATTTAATTTTCTCGATGTCTAATGATTCAACCTTTAGTCACTATAATTTATAAACTTGTTATTTAGGCCTAGAATCAGTTAGTAGGTCTCCTATATATTCGGCATTTGACAGTGTAAATATTCATTCCTTCGTGTCAAAATAGATATTTCAATTCGTAATTATTACTTATTCCGTTTTTCATTTCATAGACTATCGCAGGCATATCTACAATCCAGACATTTGGGGCAGAAGAAAGATTAAGGAAAGAAATGTGGGATCTTATAGATAACAATAATCGACCATTCCTATTAAACTGGGCATGTAACCAATGGCTTCATACTCATGCCAATGTAGTAGGAGGTTTATTTAGTGTTGCTATTGGTTTTATTATTATCTTTAACCTTTCAAAAGGAATGGAAGCAGGGTTAGCAGGATTAATCCTTACATGTGTTTTGAGTTTCAGCAAAAATATTGTCAATGCCATTACCACTTATTCAGTCATGGAAATGAACATGAACTCTGGTAATTTTAATGTTTTATATTAATGTTAGAGTGATATATTTTTTATATTTTTTTGCATTTTTAATATTTAATTTATTTAGTGGAAAGAGTTCATGAGTATTTAGCACTGAAAGGTGAACAAAAAATAATCAATTGT